AATATCTTAGTTATCTTCAATATCTTAGTTCAATATATTAGTTATCTATAGTATGAGCTAATTTAATCTATAACATTACGTTTCTTAAATAGCTACAACTACATTGGCCTAATGTAATTAGCATGGTACATGAAGCTTTACTTATAACAAATCGACTTCGTTGCTTGATAATTTTGCTAAGCAGGCCAAACCTTGTCAAGTGTTCTTAGATCAAAGGCCAAAAATACTGGTAGCAACGAGGGAACCCAACTGATGATCCATGGCAGTCATTGAGGCTTTTCTTAGTTTTCTCGTTATTCACAACAGTAATAACTGTAATATAATATTAGGAACTCTTCTAATAGAAGATATTAGATAAATTATAAGAACGATTCCGCTCTTGGAACTACTCCCTTTACCACAAGCGTCTTCACTTCTATGGTTACACACTGTTGCCTGGTCGACAATTTTCATTGTTGTAAGCTTTTGTGAAAAATATGGAGATTAGATTTATACCACACATCTTGATGAACTTACCACAGATTCTCCACTATACACCAGCAAAGCGCAATAAATCCATTGGAGGTACATCCGAATTTGACAGCTATGTTGTTAAGTGAGTATTACGTGGTTCTAGTTTCTTTGTTCATCTTTTATTGAAAACAACTGTTGATTTTGAGGTGTAAGTAGAAGCGGGTAACCTTTGGTTTATATGCTTTCATCAACTTCTAATCCTTCTTATTTTATTAATGTTCAATTCATCACAATGTTTTGAGTCAAAACATTCTCTTTCACAACTTTAGTTTTTACTTTGCGGGTGAGGGCGCTGCTCCAGCTTGGGTTGGAATATGTCTTGGAAACTCATCTCTAAACTCTTTGCTTTACGAACTTCTTCGCCTCCTGAAGAAGGCTGCCTTAAAAAAAGGTTTTCTTTTGGTTCTACACCGTGGAAATATTTTTTATATTATTCCAACCTAAATTACCTGTGTACCGTGGTGACATTGTATTGTTCAACGGTCGGGAATTCACTGTGAACCAATTATATGCGTTGGATGTGCTTAACTTGTATAGGAACAGATATTATATTGTTAAACTGCGTCAGATTAAGAATCTAGAAAGCTATCTGTTAAACAGGACGAAGAAAGCTATCTGTTAAACAGAATGATTATTTCAAATTCGATGACGAGGAACCCACTTTGAGACTAATAATGGCTGGAGACGGCTTAAATGGGTAATGAAGAAAAACTTTAATATAAGTTTAACATGACAGCAAATGTACAACGTTTCGACAAGGTACCTGATGATGACAAAACCTTGTCGAAACGTTG